GCGGGTTCGAAGAACCCTCGCCTTAAATTTCGAGTCAAAATCAAATCGTTCGATTTTGCGGCAGATGTTCGATGCGCGTCTTTCATGCATCTCGCGAGATCTCACAATTGTACGGAAAATCATCTATTGAAATGAGATCTATAAAATACTGTCCATGCATTATACATGCTGATAATCTGCTTGCTTGTACTTTTCAGTGATGATTAACCAATTTTATTCATGGGATAAAGACAGTGACGGTTTTGTCAGCTACTTGGACTTGTCTGAATTCTTTGGTGCATTTATGCCATCTGAACAAATCCTTAACCAGTTTGATTTTGATCATAATGGAAAGTTTGATAAAGATGAATTGGCAATAGCTTTAGGATTTTTAGAAGTTCCTCAAGCACCTGTACCGGATAATAATGACCAGGAGAGTCGAGATTTACCAAACCCTTCCGGGAATCAATCAGGTCCTGGTGAATCAACAGGTAAGGACTTCATAGACGTGTCATGTTATGGAGTGTTATGACTTTCACAAAGTTTTGTTTTCATGAATGCTACGAAATCATCAAATCATGAAAGTTACTAGCAATGATTATTAAGCTGTTTACAATATAACTAAATACAAGACATTTTTTTTGGTTCATTCTTTTGGTGTAGATAAGCCAGGCACATGTCCCGTAGTTGCTTCAGAAGTGATTGGTACTTGTAGTGAAATGTGCACAAGTGATGCATCCTGCCCAGGTATTCTCAAGTGTTGTTCCAATGGTTGTGGTCATGGTTGCACAAATCCAATCCTCAATGCAGGCAAGTTTAAACATTTTATACTGGAGTAGTGTTCATATTGTAATAATTTCATCATTGTGATGTTTTGTTGACAACCACATTAGGCAAAAATGAAACAAATACAACACCATAAAAGCCACTTGAAATTAACATGAGTGGTAATGACTACATTAAAATGTTCTTGTCCAAACTTATTGGCATGTAGGATTATCAAATATATTTAAGTTTAAATAAAAATATTTTCACATCCTTTTTGCATTTGCAAACTTCTATTCGGGGATTGATAATATCACGCAGATGGTAGCCATGCAGTCAGGAAACTCAAGACTCATCCATTACCACTCATTGTGCTCTAATTACTTACATTTTCAATTATATTCCATGCTATTCATAGGACAACCATCGCAATAGTTCACCTTATGCTACATTTTCTACTGGTAAGATAATATGCTTTTGTCTTCACATGCTTTGCTATCAATTCATATTAACGTCATATTGTGTTGTTAACAATTCTTCGAGGTATTCCAAATTAGTGAGCAAGTTGGCTAACTTTGCTGCTTAAATTCTTGCCTTACAACTTCTGTTATATTCTTGTTAATTTTTTTTTATTCCGGTAATTTGGTTCATCTAAATTATGATTCATATTTGTCTTCACATTGCGTGTCGATGCAAAGCTACTTACAAGATTGCGTCTGATTGGCTACCCAACCCAAAAACCTAATAATCAGACCAATCAGACAGCAGATTGTTCAATGTAATAAATTCTGCCCTGTGTATATGCGTGGAGTAAGCTGCATAATAGCAGTATGTAATAGCTGTGGATGCATTGTCTTGCTAATTACTGTAAAATGACTAGTTTTCACTGAGTTAAAATTTCGCTGATTTAGCATTTCAGGCATATTCAGTAGGTTTTAAATTCACGGTTTCATCATTTAGATAATGTGTTCTATGCTCAGTTTTTCATTTTCACTGGGTTTTATTTTAGCACATTTTCCAGTCAGCGAAATAAGCAAAATTAAAACCCAGTGAATAATTAATCCTTTTACAGTATCTGATTGCACAAAAAGTGTACAACTGATTCTTTGCATTTGCGAGTAAAAAAGCATCTAGCATTGTAGCTACTGGCTCAGCCTCTACTGTTTTTGGTTACATGAAATATGTGCACTTTGACAATTAAATTAAAATGTAGCGGTGCTACTAATTACTTAAAGGGGATCCTTCCAAGCCCAGGGATTGCACCAAAGAATCATGGGACACTATTGTTTATGTTGTTTACAAAGTTAATCTATCTTTTGTCATCCATTGTAATTTTAATCCAGAAAGTAAATTTGTTGTGAGATTAGGCTTAACTGAAAGTGCCCCTTTAACATTAGCTGTATTAACTTTGTAAATAAGTGAAATGTTATATTTGTATATTTTAGGTACCACAAAAGCGTCAATTACTGGAAAAAAAATGCAGCTACAACAAGAGCACTCTCTATCAGCAGCGGAAAGACAGAAGCTATGGCGAGCACAACAGGCAGCTGCAAAACAAAAATACCACCCTAAATATCCATTCCGTAACCGTCATAACAAGCAGTGATAAAGAGGATACGAATACTGTTTGCTGTAAATCACTTGACAGGATACATCAGAATTTACTTACAAAGAAAAATTTAATTTACAATTACATTTAGCATTTATCTGTAGCAATTGCTTAGTGATACCGCTGTAATTTTGTTTATTAACTTGTGCAAATTAAACACAAAAATAATAGAACCCAAAATATTTGGTTTCCGTATCAACAACCTAGCAGAAAACCAATCACAGCTTGTCTAGAAACGGTAATGCCATATCCAGGCACCTTCTCACCAGATCCAGGTAGCTTTACACCTCATCCGGACACAGCAATCCCAAATCCAGACACCTTCAATTCAAATCCAGGCAATCAACCTGATCCAAGCTACTTCCCTTATGTTTAGGAGATGTGTGGCTGCAAATCTTGTCGCTTTGAACTTTTAAACACTCATTTGCATAAGTTATAACTCAATAAGCCAATTTCTAAGATACTTTGATGAAAGTTTTTTTTTTTTTACTTTGTAAATCTTTATTTCTGTTATGGGTTGCAGGGTGTGCAGCTCCAATGTACTTTATGAAACCACTCTTGTGGTGTGTTTTTTATTACAAAATTAAATCAAAATGGTTGTTGAAATGTTTTCATTTTTGGTATAAATGTGCTTTTCTAGTCTTAAGGAGACTGATTTCAACACATCTTGTATACTGTAGAATACTTTATTTTCGCTTGGAATTAATTTTCGCTGTAGGAATGATTCAGTGATAACAAGACCCAACACTATAACTTTTTTCCTTAGTTTACATTCAACTCATCGAAAATCAGTGAAAATAAATTACATACAAAACACCCAAGAAAATTAATTCTAGCTAAAATAAAGTACTTCACAGTAGTATGCTGCTTTGAATAAACTCGTCATGTATTAAATTTATAGCCAGTATTCTAATGGAATCTGTGTAGTTTATATTTGCTGTTATCTAAAATTCTCAGAGTACAAAGATGTTTTAAAAAATTCAGCGATTAATGTAGTGTAAAATAATATTGCAATTTAGGTGTATAGTTTTGTAAATTTGCATTCCTAATCTGAAATGTACGCTCACCAGGAGAATTGAACTTCATCACTCTGATGATTTTGTACTTAATGCTTAGTGTCACAGCCAGGCTTTGTAATTGTCAAGTGATACACATGTAAATATCTTGTAGGTTTGAGTTAGGTATGAGAATTAAGGTCCCATTAGCCAAATTATCAGTTGTCTGGTTGCTTGGTAAGCATTAGGGAAGATGGGATTACCAGTCATGTTGATACACCTGTAGTTGCCAGGAATATAGTTCACTTTACTAGCTCAGTTGTATCATGTGTATTCAAGTTGCAGAAAACTGGGATTAACTGTTTTGCCAACAGCTGGTTATAAAACTTCCCTTCCTCCCTTGTTTGTGTCGCACCGCCACACTCAGTAACTTAGCAACCAGGGACCTATTTTTCATTCAAATTATAACTTGTCATTTGTGTAAAGCATGTGGTATTACGGTAAATTGTTAATGTGATCAGGACATGGAAATATGAGAAAATGTAAAATATATTGAATAGCTTGTTTTATATTTCCCCTTTTGTCGGTACTTTTCTCGTCAACTGCTCCCTTTTTGTGTTGACTTGTAAATAGGACATTTATTTTGACACTAATTTTATCTGGACCTCATCATTTATGGATGTAATTCTGTGTCTGTAAGGTGCTTTTGAGTAATTTTTGTTTTACCTTTTTTGGAAGATAATTGCTTTATTTGGCAGAATGGTACTTTCATCATATGAATAATTAATATTTCCTTATTTGGGACTTAACTGCCGTATATGGCAGATTGAATAATTAAGGTGCAGTAAGATGGATACCTTGTATTGCCATATATGGAGAACTTCTAAAACTTTTATATGTGAATACAAGTACATATGTGCTAAAGCTTACTCTTTTTTTATAGCCATCAATCTGAAATGGTTTTCTCTTAACTACTGTGTAGATATGTGTTGGAACGATATCATGTTTTATAAATATATATATTGTCAAATGTTATCAAATTTAAGCACCGATATTTTTAAAGGTGGCACCCTTCAAAACTTGTTATATTAAAGATATGTATGTTAAAACAATTATTGTAAAAGTCATGTTGAAAAGACAACAAAGGAGGAATCAGTGCTTGTAGTTTCATCCATGAATCAGTGATGTGTTATTTTTTAAGGGTGACATCTTTACAAAATCAGCTTGTCCAAAATGGTGATTTGGGTTCTAACTATGCATTGTGATAAATTGTTTGTATTTTAAGAAGGAATATTATTTTTTATGTGCAACTGTGTTGCTGTTGTACATGTGATTATTGGGCAATTTCTGTATAAAAAAAAAAATTGTAAGAACGTAAAAAATATGTGTAATGCTATGGTCTTACAATAATAAAAGTATTGTAAATCTAATGTTTGTGGTTATTCATTGCTTGGCCTGTGGAGTGGAGTACGTACTGTGTAGTGTAGTGTTTGTGGTCATTGCTTTACCTGTGATGTCGAGTGGAGTACAGTGTTTATGGTTATTGCTTTACCTGCGGTGTTGAGTGGAATTCAATATTTGTGGTCATTGCTTTACCTGTGATGTTGAGTGGAATTCAATGTTTGTGGTCATTGCTTTACCTGTGATGTCGAGTGGAGTACAGTGTTTGTGGTCATTGCTTTACCTGTGATGTCGAAGGAATTCAATGTTTGTGGTCATTGCTTTACCTGTGATGTCGAGTGGAGTACAGTATTTATGGTTATTGCTTTACCTGTGGTGTTGAGTGGAATTCAATATTTGTGGTCATTGCTTTACCTGTGATGTCGAGTGGAGTACAGTATTTATGGTTATTGCTTTACCTGTGGTGTTGAGTGGAATTCAATATTTGTGGTCATTGCTTTACCTGTGATGTCGAGTGGAGTACAGTGTTTGTGGTCATTGCTTTACCTGTGATGTCGAGTGGAGTACAGTGTTTATGGTTATTGCTTTACCTGTGGTGTTGAGTGGAATTCAATATTTGTGGTCATTGCTTTACCTGTGGTGTTGAGTGGAATTCAATATTTGTGGTCATTGCTTTACCTGTGATGTTGAGTGGAGTTCAATGTTTGCGGTCATTGCTTTACCTGTGATGTTGAGTGGAGTACAGTGTTTATGGTTATTGCTTTACCTGTGGTGTTGAGTGGAATTCAATATTTGTGGTCATTGCTTTACCTGTGATGTTGAGTGGAGTACAGTGTTTGTGGTCATTGCTTTACCTGTGATGTTGAGTGGAGTTCAATGTTTGCGGTCATTGCTTTACCTGTGATGTTGAGTGGAGTTCAATGTTTGTGGTCATTGCTTTACCTGTGGTGTTGAGTGGAATTCAATATTTGTGGTCATTGCTTTACCTGTGATGTCGAGTGGAGTACAGTGTTTGTGGTCATTGCTTTACCTGTGATGTCGAGTGGAGTTCAATGTTTGTGGTCATTGCTTTACCTGTGATGTCGAGTGGAGTACAGTATTTATGGTTATTG